ATATATATATAATTTAGCAGCTATTTGTTGGTGCAGTACATACTTTTTACCCCCAGAGGACTCAAAACAAACATTACCAGAATCAATCAATCAATCAATCAATCAATCAATCAATCAATCAATCAATCAATCAATCAATCAATCAATCAATCAATAAATAAATAAACTTTAGGTATGTATTGTGATTTAGGTTGATATATGTATCAACCAAACGCAAAGCAGCTTTCATTAATTTCCTCAATTTTTCTGAAAATGTCGAACCAAATATTAAAAAAATACTTTAATACTGCTTTTCTTTTGTCAGAAACTTTATGACGTTAAAGTACGTAGTTCCTCAAAATGACCACAAGAGGGCAGTTAAACAAACGTAGTTTTGCGGAGTGATGACATTTGTCCAAATACCGACAAACAAGTTTTTATTATTTGTAATTTAGCTTGAAAAGAACAAAACAATAAACTATAGCAACATATGAAACAGGTTATTTTGTTAATAACAAATAAACTAGATTTTCTTTTTGCAGTTGCTTTTAAAGTTCGTCTTAGCTTTCTTTGACCAGTTTCTAAAAATGTATTAGTTTTTTTTTAAACATTATTGTTGACCATCACGATCCACCGGGAATAAATGGGATTCCAATATATTTCTACAAAACACAGGGATGTTTGTATTTTCCAACACTTCCTTACTCATGTTTATCGATGCTACTTATTGCTTATGCAGTTCATCATTGTCACCACAAGATGGCGCCAAAAACAAACTAGCGTTCTACGGCGCTAAACAATCTGAATGCACTCCTTGCATTGTGGTTCTAAATTAAACCACACATATATTTTGAGCTGCATTGAAGGACATGTTCAGTAATAGTGAATTTAGTTTTCATCCCACGGACGTACGGTAAAGAACTTAAGCAGATAATCAAAATTTTCAAAACGCAAAAAAGTTGTCAACTCACTGCTCAACAGCGACAGCCGCCCGACCGCGGGCTGAACAGATCTGTTGCAGTTTACTACTGTAGCCACCAGAGGGCAGCAGTCACCACTTTTTAACCCAGTCGTGCACGAAAACGTCCCGTCGAGATTTTCAAAATAAGACAATTCTTTGAAGCGTCTGTTAACTTTTTTCCCCATTTTATGATAAAATATATATTTAGCCAGATCCCTGGCGACCCGAAAAGTAAAGTGTGAGATTATAGAAGTTAAAAGTTTAAGAGAAAATGCCAATATTTAATTATTTTTGCTGTTTTAATGGGGGAAAACGTAACTTATATATTGATGACATAAAACAGTAMGGCTAATGGCGTCTAAATCAAGATTCAGTTAAGCAAAATCACCCCTTTTACATTAACAAAAAACCTTCTTAGCATTTGGTGGATTGTCACAATAGTATGTCTGATTGTCTTCTGTAACAACATTCTTGATCAGTGACATAAAACAGCAGGATTGCTTGAAGATATTTTTGATAAAGGATGACTCAGAGTCAAGTTTTTRTTTCCACAAAACAAAACCACACAGCTTCATTAATTGTTTTATTTTCTATAAAAGAGATGAGTTTATTCAATGATCATAACAGATTTAATCAGAGACCTCAAGCGACCACTTACATACCAAACAAAATTTGAGGAAAATGTTTTAACAAACCCCCCCAAACAGAAAAAAATGTAACACAATAAAATACCTGAATAAAGCAAACTCTGGGCTGAGCTGAACATCAGCACATTCTCTGTAGAAGCCATGGCACATTATGTCCAACAGTTATCGTGAGAAACAAAAGCTAAAAGGAATGAGTCTTTTTTTTCTTAACACTTTTGAACAGTTCTAACAACATTACATATTCATACATWGTGGACTGGATAGAAATAAAACCAAACGTGAATTAAGCACTAAACAAGTTCCCCTGAATTACTGCTCATGTTTTTAGTCTCCTCATCAACACGTTTTTATCTACATCAGTGAACATGCCTTTCAGCACCACACCACTGAAAAACAAACAATAAAAACAAAACTAAAAACACATACAATCACACACAGCCTTTCAAATATACAGCCACACGCACAGACGAGACTTAAAACGCCAGTGTGGAAACGCTGAATCACATCTACCTAAAACTTGCTGTTAGAAGAAAATGAGAGTTGTCAGGTGTGTACACTCGTAGAAGTCCAGCTAAAACTAAATTTAAAACCCGAGCATTGACAACGGGCAAAATATAAAATGCTGTCTTTTCTGTTTTGTAATTACTATTTTTGTTTAAAACACACTCTTTCAAATGTCCCCCCCCTCCCCGCC